CGAATGTCACTCGAATTTTTCAAATTCCCTAGTAAAGTTGGAGAAATGATAATGAAATATTTTAGAGCAGAGTTTCTGCAGTTAACCGTTGTTAACTACACTATCAAGTGGCAAGTCTTCGAAGTCGACATCATGATGAGTGTGTGATTTCATTATGTCCATGAAACACATATTACGGGGTGCAGCTGGCACATACCAATGCCGGAAACCTGGAACTTTCCATTTCCACATAGGGGGAGGAGTCCAACGTCGGGAAGGTACGACTTCAGATAAGGGATTCGGCTGATGAGTTCGTCCGTAGGTAACGGCCAGATATTAGAACTGGCACCAAATGGTCGGCACTGGAAGCCACTCAAGAAGCAAATTCCAGCCTGCGAACCAAGGTGATTATGGGGCGACCCAAACCAGTTGAGCTGGCCTAGGCAGCACGAACAACCAGCTTTTCTCTAAACAGAATCCAAAAGGTAAACGAAACATGGTGATTGAAGAAATCAGGAATTTCGATGAAGAGCAGTGAACAGCCACTGCAGTTTCTCAGTCCAAACAATGTGCTTGGACTACATGGAGTGATATTGATCCAATGAAGCTGTCATGGAATACCCTGATTGCAATGAAGCCATTGGCAATATCATTCCTTCTGTGATCTATCTATGATCTCCTACCAAATGCTACCAGCCTCAAGCTTTTGAGGTACACAAACACTGATGTATGCGCATTATGTCAAAGTGATCGAGACACTTTACGTCAACTGCTCTTTGCATGTAACAATCACTGCAGATGTATACGTGTATAACAAAGTGCTGGAAGTGGTCATACACAGTCTAAAGCAGCCAACAAACAGTCTGTAACGGACAGAGAACCTATGATACGTGCGGAAGATCCAAATAACATCCAACATGACACTACTAAATGGATCCCGTGATTGAAGGGTGTTAATTAATCATAGGATACCTCTGCAATTTCCGGTACACATAATTTAGACAGACGCACGCCCTGACACTGTAGCGTGGTCTGATTCAAAGAAGTGTGTCCTCCTAGCAGAATTAACAGTTCCATGGAAGGAGAACAGGGAGGAGGAGCACGAGCGAAAGAAAAACCGTTACGAATCGCTGCGATCCGACTGCGTGGAACAGGGATGGATATGTCATGTGTTACCTATTGAGGTCAGGTTCTGTGGATTCCTTGAACGGTCAGTTGTTTCTTTCCTTTTAAATGTGGATATCACTGCCAGGAACCTAAAGCATGCTTCACATCGTCTCCCGACCACAGCTCAACAGGCATCGAGTTGGATATGGTCAAGATCTAAAATAAATAAAGTTGAAAAAAACCATGCTCGCAACACAATTCTACTTCCGACGTGAAACACATCTGTTTACCTTCCATTCTACGTCATTAATAACCATTGCTCAAACATTGAAAATTTCAGTTGCAGTTATAAAAAGAAATCGCAAGAGACTGACACGTGTAAAAACAATACCCTGTCCGGTGGAAAAAGCTGGTGGTGGTTCCAAAGGTGGCAGTACCGCCTTAGCAACCGAAACTGTGTTACATCCCCTGGTTGGCGCCTGACGAGGACAGGGTATGGTGTGAATTTCTTAACCTGTTGCAACAGTTTATATCTGAATTTCTGGGATGAGGAGTTATCATTATTTATACTATTTGTATTCGGACTATTGTCCTTACCTTTTTTCTTGTTATCACAATGTTTCGGCTGTTGTGCTCCATGTCTTCATCAGATGTATATCGATCTGGGTAACCTACTGATTTAAACCACAGCCGCCAGACTACTACAGAATCTCCTACAACTCTTCTGGACGGTCTCCTTGTTTAACTAGGTGAATACGGCCATAATTCTTGCCTTCAGTTTATCTTTGGTGTTACAAGGAGTTTTGTTGGTCTCTCACTCAACCGCGACCCACACATAATAATCAAGAGGTTTTTGAAGTCTGGGGAGTTAGGTATTCAGATGTAAGCGGTGATGTAGTCACAGAAATTGTCTGACAGCCATGACTGAGTTTTCCTGCTTGTGTGGGATAATGCAGAGTCATATTACCAGACATAGGGTCTTCTAGCAAACAATCTCTTGACCCAGGGCAGTACTACCTCCTCAAGGCACTTGATGTAGGTCTCCGTGTTGAGTGTAGAGCTCTGTGGGAAGATGGATAGAGACATAACGTCGTCCTCAATGGTGATCACTCCAAATACCTTCGTAATTACCCTTAGACTCATCCAACTCTGCCCTGTCCTCAGATTGACACAGAAACACTCTGAAATGTTCGCATTGGAGCTTCCGGCGCGAATGTTAAGCATTATAGCATGCGTTTTCTAAATTTCTAGCGGAGTGAATTGCGTCATGCTGGTCTTTTTCTTAAAGACGTTGCCCAACAGACCCTACTCTACTGTGCAGCCGACAAAATCAGAAATCACGCATGCGCGAAAAGAAAAATATGAAATGGCGACAATTTAGCCATCGTACCGTATATATATATATATATATATATATATATATATATATATATATATATATATATATATATATATATGTATGTATATATATATATTGGATAACCGGGTTTGAGAAGAATGTCCTTTTTTTGTTTCTCTTTCGATACGAAACTAAACAGATATGAAATTCTAGAAAAATCTGAGGAGGTCTTCTTTAAGGAAAATAGAACCTTGCTTGGAGATGAGATTCTGTGTCTGAAGCGCACCGGGTTAGACGGTGGTTCGAATCCTGATGGAGGATACATTTTCTGTATTTAGTTTTCACGAATGCGCATGGTGGTAGACGAATTAAACACTGTTTTAAACTCTGTTTAAAAAAATAGGGCACCCCCCCACGCACGGATACTCTTCTGTTGTATATAGGAATAAATTCGTTATTAAATCTTGTTAAATAAGTATATTTAATTAGAGAAACATTAATAAGCTTGATCCTCCCAAATAAATGTGTATGTATGTATGTATATGTGTATATATACCGGGTGTAACAGCAAAATTGTCCAATCCCGCAAGATGTTTAAAATCTAAAAAATCACTAAACTAATTGAGTTTCTTTCTTCCAGGTGTTCAGATAAGACATTTAGTCATCTTCATACAATTTTTCGTAAGAATCACTGAAAAACCCTTTGGGTTATTCAGCTAGAAAGAAAACATGTTAAAAACATTCCACTGTCTTTTCAACTAAGCAAAGGTGAGAGGAAAAAGATCATTCATTCAGGCTTTCATTAATGGTACCAATATTCATACTCTGGTTTCCATCTTCAATGTCCATTCAAGAACCATCAAGAGAACGGGTAAGATTTGAAAAGGGGGAGCAGTAGAAAGGAAAACTGGATCAGGAGGTCACAACAGGAAGAGGGAACATCATTTCAACCTATAGCTGAAGAGATCCAAATCAATCCATGAGACTTTTAGCTCGTGACAACGGGATTCAGCTATTACAGTTCAAAGAGCAGTGAAAAAAGACCTGAAAATATAAGATATCTTTAATTATTTCTAAGATGCAACGGTTCAAAGCTTAATTTAAAAACAGGAAAATTTGGGTGTTGCACAATTTTGACAATTTTATTGTTACAACCCGTATATATTGTCTGAAGTATTCTTATTTGTGAAAATGCCCAGAAAACTTGAATACAGATTTGATCAACGTTTTCAGCAAAATTTAGTCGGATGTTCCAGATCTTATAAATTCAATGTTTAAAAAGAGTAAAAACATTCTAATGTATCAATGTTAAATACATTAAATTAAATTAGGTTTGACTTAATGACAGCAGTGAAAAAAATTATTCAAGTGGCTAATTTTGTTACGTCACTGCATTTTGTCAAACCTAACAGAATCGTTTAAAAAAAGTGAACAGACAGAAAACTTTCATTTTTTAAAATTGTGGGTAAAACAAGAGTTTTTTTTTCATTTCTAATTATTTAAGCGTTTGTTATGTCAGAGTATGCTGACTTGTGACAGGAAGGCAGAAATTGATTAAAAGTTGTGGATTCATCTGATTGATTAAATTTGTCTCGCTTTGAATTCATTTTCATATAAATAGTCTGTATTTGAGTATTTCTTTCTTTCCTTTTCCCTTTCCGTCTTCTTCTGGTCCCTCTCTAATTCTTTCGTTCGTTTCTTTCTACTTGAAACCCCCCCTCCACTCTTTATCATCCTTTACTTTTCCTTTTCTCGTCCTCTTTTCATTCTTTATTGTTGCTTAATTCGTTACCTTTTCCATTTTTTTTCTTCTTTCTTTCTCTATTTTAACATGGTATATGTTTTTATCTCATTTTCTTCTGCTTCCATTTCTTCTTAGCCTTATACCTTTTTCTTTCTTTGGCCTTTTTATTTCCTTCTCCGGCTTTTTTCATTCGAACGGGTGAAGCCGGGATCGAACGATATACTAGAACGTAAACATCAAAGGTATCCAAAAACAAAAACAGCAAGACAAACGATGATTCCGAAAAAAAAAAAAAAAACAACATGGAAGGAAAATAAGCTAAAAACGATTGTCAAGCATCGAGACTTTTTGCTTTTCGTGCGTATATATTGAAACAAAGCTTAAGAAATGCACGTCACAACGAGAACAGTAAGCAACTCGTTATCAAAAATGCTGCCAAAAATGGCGCGGAAAGAAATGGAAAAAATAATGTATGGAAAAACAACAAAGAAAAAGTAGGAAAAAAGGAAATTGAATGGTAGAAAAGGTAAGAAGAAAAGAGAAAAAGATACAGAAAAGAAGAAAAAGCAGTAAAGAGAAAACGAAGAAAAAACTTGCTTTTGAAAAAATAAAGCAGATAAAGAATCTAAATAATTTTTCAAACGTAGTTCAAAAGTTCCTAAAAAAAGAAACGAGTGGATGAAGAATAAAACGAATGAGAAGGAGAGAAAAGACAAAAAAAAAAAAAGAGAAAATATGAAAGGAAAGAAAAGTGTAAAAAAAGATCAATGATGCACGAAAAAGAGGGCGAGATGAAAAGAGAGGAAGAAGGAAAAGAAAAAATGAAGAACGTTAAAAAGAGAAAGGGAAAAGGGAAGGTGCGAAAATAAAAAAGGAAAAAGAATGTAATGATAAGAAGAGCCAAAGAAAAAGAAAAATAAAGAGTAAAAAGAAAATTATTGGAAGAAGAATGGCCAAAGAGGGAGAATAAATAAGAAGAATAGTAAGAAAAAAGAAAGATAGATTAATGAAGAAGCAAATAAAAAAGTTAGTGTAAGAAAGAGAGAGAAGAATTCTTTTAACATAAGAAAGAGAATAATAGAATGAATAAGATTAAAAAGAACGAAACTGAAAGTAAGATGGATAACGAATAAATTTTGGGAAGAAAAAAAGAATAAAAGAAAAATATAGAAGGAATTTAGATGAATAAAATTTCATGTCGAGACGGAAGTTGTAGAGAGAATGAAAGAGGAATTAAAACGAAAGACAAACATGAAGAGAAACTTTGAGACGTCCCAGACAATGATAGAGATGTCCCAATCACCCCAGAGTTTCAAAGACAAAGAAAGAATGAATGATAGAAAGAAAAATGACAATAAAGAAAATTTGGAATGAAGGAAAGAGAAAAGTACGTAAGAAAGGAAAGATTGTTTGAAAGAAAAAAGAATTATTTAATGAGAGATAGAAGAAAAGAGAGAAGAATGTAAATATAGAAAAGAAGAAAAGAGACTAACAATGCCAGAAATAAGGAAAGCGAGAAGAAATAAAGAAGAGAACGATAAAACAGGTAAGGGAGGAATCATAGAATGGATGAAAGAGAGACGTAAAAAAGAAAAGAGAGAAGGAAATAATTACGAAACGAGAAAGAAAACAAATATTAATGAGAGACAGATGGAAGGAGCGAAAGAAAAAGAAGAGGGCAAGAATGAAAGAAGGAAAGGGAGAAGGATAGAAAGATAAAAACGATTACAGTAGAGGATAGAATGAGCAAAAGAAATTAAAAGAGAAAAATGACTGAAACGGAAAAATCGATGTAAAAAACGAATAAGAGAATAAAGAAAGAAAGAAAGAGAAAAGCGAAAAGTTAAAGGAAGTTAGGGAAGAGAAAATGATGGAAAGAAATAAAGGAGAAATGAAAAAAATGAGGAAGGAAAACGGGAAGACATGAAAGAGGGAAGAAAGACAGGCAGTTAAATTTTGAATATCTTGATGGCAGAAAGTAAACAGAATTCAAAGGAAGAAAAAAATTATACGAAAGGGATAAATGTTTGGTTGAAAAGAAAGAAAAATCGTAAAGAGTAATGGAAGAAAAAAAGAAAAATGTGTGAGAGTGACATAAAAAAAATAGATATAGATAAAAAGAGAAAAAGGCCAAAAAGATGGAGAGTAAGGAGCCGAAGCAAAAGAGAACAAGAGATTGCGTGTTATAAAGAAGTTATTTAAACAAAGAACTAAAATCTCTTTTGAGTTCGTTACCTTCGTAACGTCATATATTTTCACCTGTTTTCATTGCATAGCAAAGCGAGAAAAAGAGAGGGAGAGGGAGAGAGAGAGAAGGAGAGAGAAGGAGAGAGAGGACAGAGGGAGAAATTGAGAGTAGAAGAAGAAGAAGAGGAACAAGAACAAGAAGAAAAACAAGAACTGCCACTAACGACGACGGCATGAATGTGCCGTTACTATCGTCACTTCCACTGCCATAGGGATCACATGACGTCTGATGAACAGTAGAGGAAATTCGCCTTGTCAACTATCATGCCTTCAGAAAGCGCGCCTTTTTCATCTTTTACTGATTTTGCTTCCGACAAGAGCTTTTCTTTTTACCATTTACTTTTTGAAATGGTTTGATTCTTGTTCGTTCCCGCTGCTTCTTGACGAGTGATGAGGAATTAGGAAGGTTTCTAGACGATTGCTTCTCTTCAAATCAATGACGTCTCTCTCTATATATATGTGTGTGTGTGTGCGCGTGTATTTGAAATCCTATGTGCCCTTTCACTTTTCCTTTTTAACAGATCGACCAAAAAGATGAAAGAGAAGACGAATTTTTGCCGCTCACTTTCCACGACATGGGGTCGGGCTGGAAGTCGATCGGATTCACAATGTTTAAAGATGGAAAACATTTACCATTGAAGGAGTTTCTCAACAGATGGGGCAGAGATTTAAGCGGTTTTTGCGTGGAGAATATACAGATTTGCAAAGAGGCGGGCTTGTGTTATTGACGAAAAGAAAAGCAAACATAAGGGCGTGGGTGGTGAGGAGAAGGGGGCTGAGTGAGTCAGAGAAACACACGCATCTTTACACATATGAAGCGATTCTTATAAAGGTATAAAAACATATTGATGAATGCATAAACGCCCACACACACAAATGTACACGACAGTGAACACACGGACACTTTTGAACACTTAACTGGGCAAAGATATGGAATAATTCAATATAGATTCAAGCCACGAAGAAATTCTCTCAAACAAACATCCTTATAAATATCAAGGTTGGGGGCTTGTTGACGTTGGTAGTTGCTTATCACACACCTGTACCAGCTGTCGGTTTTCAAGCCCAACTAACAGCCAGGATTTGGAATATTAAAACTCTTCTCATTTAGAAAAATGGGGCTACATAATCTGCCTGCTCGATTTTCTGAAGGTAACATTGTGTTCAACAAAGGATCTTATTAATGAACTATAGATATGACTCTTTTGAACGGCTGATGGCGGTGGCTGTTCAAGTTCTGATAAAGGACTTGAATTCTGAATTCCACAAAAATTCTCATTTGTAAACTTGGCTAAGATTCATAAGCATTTACATCTTGAACGCCTCGACTTGGTGTAATAGCTAGCAAGCTTGTCTCGCCAAATCTATTACAACTATGTATTGAGTTCGATCCTCACTGTGTTCTCCACTCCTCCGGCCTTGTGCCACATCTAAGCTACGTTTAGAACATCGCCAAAGGCATTTACATCTAAATGTATTTCTTCATAAATTTTTCGAACTAACACAGATGTACGCAACAGAATCACACACACATGCATACACACACACACACACACACACAGAGGAAAAAAAAACAGATCGATAGAGTTTTTCATAGCAGAGTTTACAAGTATTTGAGTGTAAAAACTGATACATTTTCGGAAAATAATGTAGTTTCAATCTCTTCTAATGAAAGTATATCTGAGTAAAAACCGATTAAACTATATAAAATTAGCGGCTTTCATCCAGTAAAAACGATATTAATTGATATTAATCCTAATTGGAATTGCTAGTTTTCAAGTTTGGTTCAAGGATTTAAAAAAATTTCCCCGTTTTTTAAATCACTGAACCAAACTTGAAAACTAACAATTCCGTGACCACTCGAAAAGGAAGTAAGGAAAGTTTTGTTCAACTTTCATCCAACCTTTTCTTTCCCTATTTTCCTTTTCAAGATTTGAATACTTCACTGCTTCCTTTCTAGTTTTATTTGATAACTAGTCTCACAAAGTAAAAAAATACTTTTATTACATTGGGTCTCGATCAATGCTGATTACGATGGAATCAATCTATCCGGTATGCAGACCACAAGCGGATTATTAAGAGAAAATAAACTGAAGCTTGCCAGAATATTAGATGCGGCTACCTAATAACTACCTAACCCTACTGAAATGTATTTATCTACCCTGCTATATTCCAGGTCTGTCCATAACATTGCTGGTTGTGCCTGCACAAAATTTGATGAGATATGCAACATGTCCCATCTATTTTGAATGAGGTTTAAATCTGGTGAGCGCGATGACCAATGCATGACACACAAAAGTCAGCTGGTTGTTCAGGAAACCAATTATGTGTCAGTGATGAACATATGCAGTCTCGCATTATATCTTTGCCGATGCAAATCATAAGAATGAAGAGGTGTAAATAGTCTGCAACAAATTGCACACGTATCAAAACAGATTCCTTGTGTATTCCACCCAACATCATTACACAGCCACAACATTTGACAAGTTGGGAGCATGTCCTTATGTGGATTCTTTTAAACCCAATCTCAGTCTTCTTCCGCAAAGTGCCGAAAAAGTAAATCATCTGACCAGAGAAAGTATGGCCTGTTTCCCACAATGTCTAGATGCTTTATGGCCATGATGCAATAACTGATTCTGTGATAGCAACCTTTGTTGGTTAACAACAACTAAACAGCTTTGAATGAAGCCTACTTTGTACAGATGAGTTGAAAGGCACAGGCGCTGAATTAGGATGCAATACAATGTTTCTATTCATTGTGTATATCATTGTTAGTTACCATCGGGTTATTCTTTCATTATCTGTTAGCGTCCGCAATTTTCACGTATATCTGATATGTCTCCGAAATTCATATACTCCTAACATAGACTTGCTACGAGAAAAACCTAGAATTTGTCCAATTTTGTGCCGAATTTTGTGCGCTAGTTTTGCGGCCACAATAATCATTGCGCGGGAAAATGGCGTTAAATACTCTTCAACTTCCTATGACTGCCACAATTACAGTATGGCTTTCCGATTATGTCACAAATTATGTCACATCCGGTTGAGTCCATTTCTATAAATAGGTGATGGCGAAACCATCAAGTGAACTGTTGTCACTAGTGTTTTGGCACTTCATTGCACAATTAACTAAGACAATATTTTATTTGTCGAATTATGCAAGATTGATTTGTTTTTACGGTTTACCAACACTTTGGTTTTTTATCTAAAGCGAAAAATATTTTGGATTGTAATAATAATTAATTTTTTGCGAGTGAATATTTCATTAACTATATTTTAAGAATAATAATGATTTTCCAGATACTAGGCTTACTATTTAACCCTTAACTGAGGGAGGGGATTAAAATATTATTTCATGGGTGTATTTGTGTAAAAGTATATAACGAACCCGTTTGAAATTCGAACGTGACACTGCGATGCAAGAAAGTGTGTGAATAAACAAAAGCCGTATTTCTTTGACCCACCTCTAAGGTAAGAGAGATAAAATGTTAGATATGAAAAGTATAGATAGATAGATAGATAGATAGATAGATAGTATAAAGTTAAAGACAAAACTAACAAGATTAGAGGAAAAATTACATAAAATATTAACGTGCATTCTTGTATAGATTTGTGTAAAGCATCTTGAATGAAAAACCGAAGTTCTACATATGATACCTGCACACGTAAAAAAGAAATTTATGGTTAACAAGCAAATTTCTCATAACATTACTTGTATAGTTCTAATTAATTGTCTATATACATCCGGCTAGAACTTCAGGCCATACAGATTAATAGAGATAAGAAAAAATCATGCATAAATTAAGAGGTCTTCAATATTCGTTTATGGAAGTTTGTTTATCTAACATAAAAGCTCTTTACCAATTTTCACTGTTAAGGAATTTGTCCAATACCAATAAAGAAGAAGGAAAATGAAATACTTTGACTTCCCGATTTCTTCTCAGCCAATCTGAAATTTAAAAAAAAATCTTCCAACGCTGTTGGTTCGTAAACATCACAAATATGTTTTTCTTTATGTGTTTTGCAGTTTGATATCTAAAACGCGTTTTGAAGTTGAATAAATATTTACAGAGACACATGTGGAGAAAGAGCTAGCCAATCTGATCAGAGAGGTTTAAAGATGGACGCAGTAGTACGTGTATATAGTAGTCCATAAGGAGGCTGTCATACTTACATATGCACATACGCAGTAGCATAATCACACACGGTGTCATACTTACATAGATATTTATAATTGCATAAAGACACAGTTTTCACTTCATAGCTACACACAGTGGCATAGTTATATAGGCAACTACATATAAATACGTGAGCACATAATTACATAACTCTCATACAGGCAGATTCATAGTTACATAAGCATGCACACAGCTGCAAATCTTATCCACACACACTCATCGAAAGTTTTTTTCATTAAGAATTAAATATTTAAACTTGTACAGTAATAAAAAGGCAGCAAAAATTGAAATTATTTACGTTATATGCATTTGAACTAATATCATCTTTTTTATTATTATTACAACATTGCGGCCATTTATAGATCCCAGTCCTTCTTCACGTGATGTCCATCAAGACGAACTTGAAGGAATTTCGACTCGAACCATATGTCTAGCCTATGTAAGTAGATTGTCCTCGTTCCGTTTACCATATCTCGGGATATCTCGTATAGTTTTATTTTTTTTAGTACTGCCTTGTTATTTCACAGCCCATTTTCATCGATTCTCAGTTCATGAACCAGGGATTGAACTCACAGTTACTATGCCGCCCAAACCACAAACAAACGTTTTAAAGTTCTAGGCCCAGTTCGAAATTCTCTGCAGGTTATCCGGACAGACAAACACTTGAAGGAGGCCTGAGAACACAAAGATCGAAACGTGATAATAACAAAATAGATTAGGAAATTAGTCCAAATGTAAATAATGTCAACTCATTATCCCAAAAATCTAAACTTGTAAAACTGTTTGCCATAATAAAATATTTCCCCTCAGAAAACTGGAAACAAAAACTATTAGAAGTACTTAGTTCTAAATAAAGGTAATGGCTAAATTCTCTGGCTTGACTTTCATCTCTGATTAAAGTTTCATAAATGTCGCTACATAGTCTGATACCATCGTGAGATAAGATATGCGAGTTGAGTCCAAAACTACACTTTGTCCAAAAAGAAAGTTGAAGATCGAATCGGCTAAGTTTGTCGACTGAATTATTAGTGAAATAAAGATATGGAATATTAATGGCGTAGTTCTTTCCTCGATACTTATTCATCTTCGGTCACTTTTGTATCTGGCTAGAGATTTCTAATAGTCAAAACGATATTTATGACAGAAAACATCAAATAATGAATTTTAAATTGAAACGGGTATAGCCATTGTAAAGAATTCGATAACAACAGAAACTTTAGTTGGCTTGGAAGAAAATTTGTTAATACAATAGCAACATTGTGAAAGAAACCCAAAAAGAAATCAAAAAATGGACTTAAGTATTATAAATCCAATGTGTGATCATATGTGACAATAACTCTAAAAATGATAGAAATGTGAATTAAGAATGTATATTAGCGATTTATGTAACAAAAAAATTAAAATTCAATTGTTAATGTCTCTGTATATTTATCGATTTGTAGTAAAATGTAAACGGCGTTTACTGTATTTGTCTCTGTTTTGTATATAGGATTCCATGAGTAAAATAGTTTTATTTCTTTTTGTCTGAAGACGTCTATTCTGAACGAAACGTGTCATAACACGTAAAGTAAATATATACAGCTGCTTGCTTATATGAATGTGGGTGTGTCGTGTGCGGCTGCAGATTGTGTGTATACTCACACATTCTGCAGCCACTCACAATACACACACCCACACACAAGCATATATATATATATATATATATATATATATATATATATATATATGTATGAATTTCACCTAAAGTGCTGGCTGGGGTTACTGAAACAGTCTTCGATGTTATATAACAGAGGTATAATAAATATACATAATAAATATGTATATTCATTAATATATATATATATATATATATATATATATATATATATATATATATATATGTGTGTGTGTGTGTGTGTGTGTGTGT